GTAAATTTGAATTTTAGTTTTTGGATGTTTTTGTGGATTGCTAACCTTGGAAATCCGATTGTTGAGAAATTAATTGTGTGTGTGTGTGTGTGTGGTTATGAAAAAATAGAACAAAATTATAATGTTTATTCCTAATAAAATCATGTAATGACAAATTTCGGTTATTGCACAGAATATATTCTATGAATGTAGTAATAGACAAAATAAACTATCAATATAATAGAATAAATCTGTGCGAAGCAAAGGTAAGACTTGTTTGCGCAAAAGCTCAACTCAGCAATAATGAACAACGATGGGCTTTAATGACCTTCTGAAACTAAAGATAGATAGATAGATAGATTGATAAATAGATCAATACGATACAACCAAAAAAAAAAAAAAACGAATACCCCTAAATAAAAATGTATCTGTCAAATTGTATAACGGTTGTAATCGTCATATACGGACTTGTAAAAAAAATCATTCTGGGCGGTGAGAATGGAATCCCCCAACAACCTCTCCCCTCATCCATTAATCGCCACTTATATACGAGGGCTAATCAAAAAGTATCGAGACTGATAATATTACTCGGAAACCGAGCGTTGAAGAGCAAAACGATTTGTAAACCTAATTTCTATGACTTATATTGAGCACATCCATTTGTATAAAATCTCTATAAACTTCTTCGTTTTGATTTGACGACATTTTTCTAAAATTTGTTTTTCACGTTTGGCGATTTCGTAATGAATCCAAAAGTAGCGGAACTCGCTGCCAACCGAGGGCACATTTTCAGTTTTTCAATTGACATTTAATGGCAAAAACCATGAAATGTTGCATCCCTCTGAAACTGGAAAAAAATGCAGACAAATTTTCTAAAATCTCCAAATCTGTCAAGTTACTCTTCTTTTGGGTTTATTACAAAATCGCCAAATTTGAAAAATATATTTTACAAAAATATCAGTGAAATCAAACCGAAGAATTTTATAGAGAATCAATAAAAACAAATGTACTCAGAAAAAGTCATAGAAGCAAGTGATACCAATCCTACTGCTCTTCGATGCTCCTTTTCCGAATGATACTACCAGTCTTGATACTTTTTGATTAGCCTTTGTAGTAATAGTAGGTATATACGGTAAAAATGTTCAATAATTTTTTTTTTCTTTAAATACCTACCTCTAATACGCCTAATATAAAATAACACGTGTATTGTATAAAGTACGTATAATTAACTAGTTTGTGTTTTAGACTATTTATAATATAGCCATCTCCTAATACCGATAATGATAATTATTAACTTAATACTGTTTTCGGTGTGAAATAAAATATTATCTATATTTTTAAAAAAAAAAAACCCGAATTTTGTACTCTTAGGTGTGTTACGTAAGTTTTAATGGCAATTTCGTATTATATTGTCTTTGTACTTATAAACTATAAAGTGTTTAATAAAAAGTAACACATTTGGTATTTTTTTTTTTTCTTGTACAAATAATGTCAAATAAAAACTTTCAAGTAGGTTGATATTTAGGTCAACCATTATATTATTACATATAGGTACCATATATGCATATAAAATAAACAATATATCAGTACCTATGCTCAAATCGAACGTCTGTATTATAGTGTAAGTAAAAATGGTATTTTATAATTTATATTATTATTAATTATGCTGCTGCAGCTCTATTAGTTATTAACTGTGTGAAAATAAAATGTTAAAAACTTTGTGTATCTACTCATAAGTAAATACGAGATGTGTATTCAAATTATACTTAAATATTATTTAAAGGAAAAATATATTTTTAAGATCGATGTTTTATTTAAAAATAATAATAAATTCAAATCTAAGATAGGTGAAGAATAAATATTTTTATGAAATGTTTAATTATACTGTCAAAGTATATATCACAGTGATAGTGAAGTAGTGACATTTAAATGTATTTTAAATTTTCTTCTTCGTCGTTATTACGCAGAATAAACCGTGTGTCCACATTTTTTTTTTGCCTGCCTGTCTATATTTAATTCGCTTTTTTGACCGTATCTCACAATATCCTTCCTTTTTTTCTGTAAACTTTCCGAACTACCTATTGGACCAAAATATATTCGTTCTCATTCGTCCTTTTACATTCTTAATTCTATTCAGCCGGGTACCGTAACACCTAATCCAGTAATCCATTATAACATTATTATTTCTGCCACACAATTTCGTTTCGATCTTATTTCTTTTCTGCAGTGTCCAAATACTCAGATCCAAAAAAAAAAAAAACATCTTTATTAGTTTTACAATATCGTTTTTGTACAATTGTTCACATTTTACTTTAAATATGGAATCTTATTGTCATGACGAAACACGTGTCACATCTCTCTAATTTTTTTTTTTCATTTTACATTATAAATTAATTATTTTTAAAACAATGACGTTAGTGCTTACTTGTATACATGCATGCCAACTTATTGTAATTAATAAACCAAATATTTGCTATCAAATATACACTCTGTAAAAATAATTGTAAGTGTTTCTCATTTTGTTACACATTAAATATATTCGAAACATTTCCATTTACCCACAAGAATAATATTAGAGTATAAAAATAAAATGAATTCTTAACGTTATTATTAGTTATAGTATACTCATAATATTTATAAAAATTACAAGTACAATATACACTAATAAATTTACATATATTATGATATTTGTTTGAATCACGCTTTGAAAAATATAATCATTTATTTTCCGAAAATTTAAATTTATTAGTGTATTAATATCGTCGTGTATTCAACACATAATTTAAAAATAATTGAATATTATTTTTCCAGCGTAGGTATACTAACGCCATCTATCAGCTCGGTTACTGAAGTGTTACTATTTTTGTTTTAACTTTGCTAAAATTACATAACTCAATTCAATTTTTTTTAAGTAGGTATATAATAAGAATTAAATTTCTTCAAAAATGTACAAAATCTAAACATAATAAATAATATATGTATATATGTATATATATATATATATATCGTTTACCTAATAATTATTATTTAAATAACTAAAAGTCTATAAATGACACGAATAAGTTTATTATTATAAAAATAATATTATTTTAAATTACTAGATTAAATGATTACATACTCCGTAAAAATAATTAATAACCATACTATACCTACTAATATCAAGTTAGAATATCTACGGACTTGTTCAATTTTACCTTTGATATTATATTATTCGATTAAAAATTTACAATTTATACGATAGTTAATTATTAATTATGTATAACAATAATACACTACCTATTAACATTGTAAAACAAACGCAATTTTCAAATCTTTTTACTGTAGTTACGTTTATCATTGGAAATAAAACAGCAATAATTGTTATTTAGTATAGCAAAATCATCAAATCACACATATTCGCACAAGTAGATAAATTAACATCGGTCATAGATAAATATGGCCATGTTAATTAATTAAAAATAAGAATATATTAATTATTAATCTAATTATAGGTGTTAAAGTAATTACTATCTGAAAACTTACAATGCAATACAATTTTAATTGTATAGCAATAACTAAAATTTTAGATTCGGAACAGAGCGAGAAATCGATTGGTTTTGCTATGATGTGTGTTTTCTACTAGATTCGGAGCGTAATGAGGGATCTATTGGTTTTACTATTATGCATAGTCTAACTCAGTGCCTAAAATATATCAGATTTCAAGGGACACGCTTTTTAATTCAATTGATAGATTTAATATATTTTCATAGCCAAAAAAAATCCTGTGGCAGGGCATACCTCTTTATACACTACTGTTACTACTTACCTTACATATATTTACTATTTATACCTTACAAGTGTGTACTAAAAATTATGAACACGAAATAAATATAAGTAAAAGTTTGAACAATTTTACTAAAATTAATACAATGTATTGGTTAGAGTGATCTTATTAATTGATTGCTATCATCTTTAAAAATATTTCTATAATAAAAATTAACACTCACAATATTAAATTTGGTGAACACGTTTGTAATTCAGGGGACACATTGTTTTAAGCCCTGGTCTGGTTACTTAGTAGTTTAAAAAATAAGTAAATCGTAATTATTATGGCCTTACAAATCATGTCAAATCGTTTTTACATTAACGATAGTTTATCGTTGCTTACAGATATAAATTCACTAAAATTTTGTATCCTACCTTCCCAACTTCTCATCTAAATCATAAAATGATGAATATTATAACGTATATTTTGTTTTTTTTTTTTTCATGAATAATAATGGCAGGTACACAAACCGTATGCAATAATATCTATAAAAAAAAAAAAAAATAAAAATAAAAAACGGGTGAATAGATCTTCAAATATGACCTGTGCCAGGGGTCGGGAATCTTTTCATATAGGTAAATAAATTATTTTAAAAAAAAATTGCAAAACCATGATTTTCAAAGAGCCGCAATGGTTAAGGTACAAAAAAAACATACCATAGTACAAAAAAACGACTAATATATTTTACCGAGCAATTTCATTAGGAATTGGTAGACATCAAACACGTAATGCGTCTTAAATTCAGAGAAACTTTCTTTAACGAATACATTATTGCATTATTATTATTATTATTATTGTTGTTGTTGTGTGTACAAATCGAATTTTAATTTATATTTTATGGGTCCGGTTCTAAATCTAGAATGTCTAGATGTTGATGCATTCTCCAAAGAGCCACAGATGGCGTGCGAACGAGCCGCCGCAGCTTCCCGGCCACTGAGTCCTATGCGAACAAAGTTCCGTCGAACCAACGAATCAGTTATGTTCGGCGGAATCGTTTTGTTTTTACATTAAACCCCGGACAAGTTCAGATCCCTCGACTGCCATCGATGATACGAACACGAGCGTCCGCGTGTATTGTATCGTCTACAGCTGCCACACAAGGGGCACACACCGCACACCTCGTGATGCACACCAGCTAGTGATAACATAACCTCTACGTTACCAACTACAGAGTTTCTTACATTTTTTTTTTTTTTTTTCGTATCGGCGACATAATCTGTTTAGGTTTGCCGATCAGGCGACGCCCACTGGATGCATGTTATTGTGTCATGATAATAAAATATATGTGTTGCCCAAGCGATATCTCTGAATGTGTTGTACGTGTAGGTACGTTGCTGACTAATTAAATAATAATTCCAATAATTTCGATTTTCGATTCGATAATTATCGTGGGCGTCACGGCTCTGTCGAATGTGCAAACACCGTCGGTTTTGACCAGGACACGTTACCCGTAACGTTATCTCACCGTTGATAAACGCTCAAATGAAATTCTGTTGCGGTCTACGACATTAAATCCTGCGGCGTTTTGAACATCTTGTCTGGGAGTCGCACCGTACCACGAATACCGACGAAAACGCACTAAAATGGACAGTCACGGCAGGAAAGTGGTCGTATGCGATAATGGAACCGGGGTGAGTGGTCATATCGATAGCCTTAACTTAATGCTATTTAATACATACTCGTATTGGCTATCGACGTCTAATAAACAAATGTAGGTTATTCACTGGCTTTTGAGTCTGCCAAAAAACGTTCCGTGGAACTTTGGTTCGGACATGCCATAATGAACCACTTAATCAGTAATCAAATTTTCGATTTTTCTATTTTATGACCTATTAATTGGGTAGGTATTACCCAACTAATAGACGAATTCGCGTAGAATTGTCTAGTTGTGATGGACACTATCAAACTCTTAGATAGTTTCTATAGATCGAATACCTAGTTTTTATTAGATTAATTTTCATATAGTTTTTATTCGAAAAATATCATTGTGCATAATTTATGTGTGGAGGCATGATGCAACATATACTGTGCTCTTTGTGCTCTGCTGTTGTTAGTATTATTATTCAAATGTTTTTTTTTGTAAATACAAATACATTAATAATATAGGGTTGTAAATGCCTAAATAAAAACTATTCAAATAGTTTTTTGAAGTATTTGACAGTATAAGTATTTAGATAAGGAAAAAATATTCAATAGTTCATCCTAATTGTCAATGGTATAATTTAAATATACCCATCACCGATATTTAGACATTTTATCATATTCAAAAGCCATGTTTCCACTGACGAAAGAACACGATATCTATAATTGAAAACATTGATTATGCTTTTGATCCTAATTTGATCTACTCGTTTGAGTCCTTAAAGAACATAATATTGTTTAGTTCTTGACGGTTTAACAAACTATAGAAACAAATCTTTTTTACAAAAAATTGTATATGTAATTAATCATAATAACGCTCATTTTATTACTAGTAAAAGCCAATTGATATTTTATCTAATTAGACTATTCCACAATATTATTTAAATGTTTTCGTCAATATTTATCTATTCAACTCGTAATATTACATTTCTATTCCAGTTTGTTAAATGTGGTTACGCTGGTTCAAATTTCCCTGCTCACATATTTCCTTCTATGGTTGGCCGACCAATAATTCGTGCACACAACAAAATTGGCGATATTGAAGTTAAAGTAAGTATTTAAAAAATACCTACTAGCTACAAATTATAATCAAATAACTTAAATTTATTTTTATTTTAGGATTTGATGATTGGTGATGAAGCTAGTCAATTACGATCCATGTTAGATGTCACTTATCCAATGGAAAATGGCATAGTGAGGTATAGTTTTTTGTTAATTTTTTTTATTTATAAAAGTTGATTTAATTATTTGGCTTAAATTTCATATTTATAGAAATTGGGATGATATGTGTCATGTTTGGGACTATACTTTTGGCCCAAAAAAAATGAATATTGATCCAAAAGAGTGTAAAATAATGTTAACGGAACCTCCAATGAATCCAATCAAAAATAGAGAAAAAATGATTGAAGTTATTATCATGAGAATATTATAGAATATTGAGGGTTTTTTTTTTTAAATTATATTTATTTTGTTTATTAAATAGGTAATGTTTGAAAAGTATGAATTTAATGCTGTGTATGTAGCAGTTCAAGCAATACTGACGTTGTATGCTCAAGGATTATTAAGTGGAGTAGTTGTAGATTCTGGTGATGGAGTAACACACATTTGCCCTGTTTACGAAGAATACGTGTTGCCACATTTAACTCGAAGATTGGATATTGCCGGTCGTGATGTTACCAGATACTTAATTAAGGTAATTATTTATATATCTAATGTTTTGATTTCTACCAAACTATTGTGTTAATTTATTATTTTATTTTATAGTTATTACTATTGAGAGGATATGCATTCAATCATTCTGCTGATTTTGAAACTGTTAGGATGATGAAAGAAAAATTATGTTATGTTGCATATAACATAGAGACTGAACAAAAGTTAGCTTTAGAAACTACTGTTTTAGTTCAGTCATACACAGTAAGTGATATTTTTATTTTAATTACTTATTTAAAAATGATAATTAAATTTTTTCAATATTCTAGTTACCGGATGGACGAGTTATTAAGGTAGGAGGCGAAAGATTTGAAGCTTCTGAAGTGTTATTTCAGCCTCATTTAATTAATGTTGAAGGCCAAGGTTTGCATATTGATTTCATTAGTCTTAAAAATTAATTTTATAATATAATAGTATAATTTTTAATTTATTCAGAGTTTTACAATTTTTTAACCAGAGATCACTCACATATGTGTATATAATGCGTGATATAATTTCATCAAAAAATGAATTCCATTTTTTTTTTTTCCAATTTGTATTTATTGCATTATAAACTAGACTGTATGTTTTGAGGTCTTATTCTTCCCCCCTCTTACAACAAAAATAATATAATTTTTACCAAAATTTTAAGTTTTAATTTATAGCTGCTAATTTAGCATTATAAAGTATAAACAAATGTACAGTATAAGAGACCGGATTTATATTCCACAAAAAGGCATTTAAAAATATTTAAAAAAGTAAAAATGATAGAAGGAATTTAAAGTTCCCCTTTAATGGTTCTAAGTTATTCAATTAAATTTCTTAACACTATACAAATGATTAACACAAAATGATTTCTTTCAAATAAAATCATATGGATTTTATAAAAAATAAATTACTTTTTATTAATCATTTTTATGGTGTTGGAAATATGTATTTATAAATTAAATCCATTGGAAGGGGAACTGTTAAACCTTACTATTATTTTTGCGTTTTCATATATTTGATAATTGTTTTTTTTTTTTTTTTTAAATAGATTATAAAGAATAATAAAGGATATAAAATTAAAACTTCCAACCTGATTAAATTGTATTTTTTATCCTACAATACATATTATTAAATAAGTTTATTGCTAACAATTCACATGTTTTTCGATTTCAAAATGGAAGTAACTATCATGCAATTTAATCTTATCCAAAATTATGGTGGGATCAGTTTCATAGATATATAAACAAAGCATCAGTAGACTGGGGATTATTTATAATTTAATTGACAATTCTAAAACTAAGTTAAATGTTAGATTTTTTCTAAGGGCTCAAGTTTTCCAGAGGTAATGAAGGATTCCGATTGTAATTTATTATTAATTGTTTTTAAATTATATTTTAATATTTTTGCGTTCTGTAGAATGTATGATAACTTAGTTGTATAAGTAATAAAATGATTTTTAATTGTTTTATATTAGTTACTATTTCTTTAAATCAAATTCATAATTTATTTACAATTTTTGTTATATTTAATTATGTTATTATATTACTGATGCACATGATTTAAATATTATTTAATACATAAACAATATTTTCATTTTAGGTATTGCTGAGTTAGTATTCAATACAATTCAAACTGCTGATATTGATATGAGAACTGAATTATATAAACACATTGTACTCTCGGGTGGTTCAACTATGTACCCTGGATTGCCATCAAGATTAGAACGTGAAATCAAACAGCTCTATGTAGAACGAGTATTGAAAAATGATACAACCACATTATCAGTAAATAATTATAGCTATATATTTTTGAAATAGATTTATTTAAAGTTTTTTTTTTTTTTTTTTTAATGATTTTCAGAAACTAAAAATACGAATTGAAGATCCTCCATTGCGTAAAGACATGGTATTTATTGGTGGAGCAGTTTTAGGAGAAGTAACAAAAGATCGAGAATCATTTTGGTTATCACGTGAAGAGTATCTAGAAAGAGGAATATCTATTTTGGATAAGCTTGGACCTAGAGCTGGATAAATAATTAGTCAGTATTACCATATAACATATTGGCTATAATATATAATATAAAATCAGTTATTTAAATTTAAAAATTATATTTATTACTTACTGTCTTAAATAAAAAAAAAATGCGCTTGTATCTAAAATTGACATAATTTTTACCAGAAAATAATATTCTGTAGACAATTATACGGTTAGGAACGAAAAATAAACATTTTTATATATTTATCTTGTAAAAATATCTCCTCTCAAATTAAATTATGTCTGATTTTTAATTAAAATAATATATTAATGATTTATTATTTTCTTATAATATGATATTTTTTTTCACGTGAGCATATTATATGTTACTGTTATATTTTTATTTTTAAATTATACTTATAATAAAATCATGCTGTATAGCTTTTAAGATAATATTAACCAAAAATATAGAATTACTATTTTACAAAAATTTGTACTGTGTAATTTAATATAGTTTGATATAATTTGATACAACCAGTACATAATTTTTGTCTGTAATAATACTGTATTATTCCTTTTTAAATATTTTTATATTATTATTATTATTTATATTTATATATTTATTATGTTGAGCTCATTGATTATAGTTCTATATAAACCTTTTGTAAACACATTTAATATAAGTAGTAAGGTTCCAACCTTTTACTAAAGATTATATTATGCAGTAAAACCTCCTTAAAATGAAATACAACAGTTCTGCATAACCTATATCCTGTATATTTTAGTATATTCTTTTATAACAAAAAAATTGGATGGTATCAAGCGGATTCCCATTTTAAGAAGGTTTTACTGCAATAACCTAAATATACAAACTATAATCAATGTTTTAAGTTAGACATATTTTATTTTTATCAAATATATTAATTTAGTGGGTTTATTAAATTTGTAATTTCATTTATTTTAATAAAAATAATTCAATAATAACAAAAATTTAACTTTTTGGTAATTTTTTTTGTGATCAAAGTTCAATATGGAATTCATTATATGTATCATACCAAAAATTTATAAAGTAACCTAATAGTACTGTAGCTAGACAAAATATTAATTAACAAAATCCTAATGAGAATTTGAAAAAATATTATTTATTAAAAACTAGAATTTAATTTTGGTATTCATAAAATATAATTCAAATTATAATCAATATTTAGCTGTTAATAACAAATTCTTGATATTGTAAGGGATGACAGAAAACAAAAAAAGAACTTTCTTTTTTATTAAAACACTGAGACTTGGAAATTGGTAAAATTAAATAGTAAAATGAACTCTTAATATAACTTAAGTTTACTTGTTAATTAAACTTGAACTTGGCAAGTAGAATAATGAGAACTTTTAAACTTAACTTAATATTATATGAATAAATAGTTTTAATAATATTGACTGATAATTTTATAGTATCTATATACACATTATTTCATTTAAACAAATTTTGTACCTGCTTATTTTAATTATTTTTAAATATAATTTCAACTAATCAATCTATTTAATTATTCAATAAACTAAAATTTAAAAACAATGTAAAATTATGTTAGATATAACTGGTAGAATTAATATTTTACATAGTGGTAAATGATATATTTTTTTGGTATAAGTTATATTATATGGTGTAGATGTAGATTTCATGTAATTGTTAAAAAAATGTTTATCACCTATAGATTATCCCTAGAATCAGTTTTATACTGTTCTTGAGAAAACATTATTTTAAACACTATTAACACAATAAATGTATGTGAGTTTATAGAAGAGTGTGGGTCGGCTCTTATTAAGATTAAAAAACTCATTTAGAAAAAATTTTATTTTTATGATAAATATTAGAAAAGTCATATATTTGTCTAGATTTGGATAAGAAATTAATAGTTTTATTGTTAAGAATAAAATTTTACATTTGGGAGCCAAACAACTTGATTGTGAAAATTAATAAATATTATTGTAAAAGTTATACATAGCATTGATATAGATTCAAATTTAAAAGACAATTCACTATTGTACCATTATGAAACAATATTTAAGCAAGCATTAAATACAAAATTAACTTTACTCTTAGGAATATAATAATAAAATATATTTTACTTTTAAGTAACCAATAATTAGATTACAAAAGTAATTATTGTAATATTGACATATATTTGTTATGGGAAGAACAGTATTCTAAGACACACTATTCCTTAAGTTTTGTAACTTGGATTTTAGGGCAATTTTTTAATTAATTTTTTTTTTTTATTTAAAAAAAATAAAAATATTATAAATTACCTAATAAATTAAAAATATATTTATCATTTTTTAATTGCATTAAATTAATTTTTTTTTTTTTTTTGTATTATCACTTATTAATTATTTTTGTAACCACCAAAATAATTTAAACCACAGCTTTAGATATGAAAATTGTTACTTTGTTATTAATAATTTGATATAGTATTTTCAAGCTTTTTATAATTAAATACTGTTCTTCTGGATTTTTGTATTATTCATTGGTTACTTTATTAATATTTATTATTAGGTACATAAACATCATAGTTATTTTAGAATTTTATTTAAATTATGCCTATGATTAAAAAATTAACACAAATATGAAATTGAGGATGATGGGTAGTACATATTGGCTCAATATAGAACTCTTATGGTTTCCAACACCACATTTTTGAACTGGTTTTGAGAAGTTTTTCAAAAATAAAATACCCTATTATGTGATAAAAAATATTATGGTATGAAAAATTTGTAATGAACGTCAAAATAAAGGCCACCCTAATGTACTTTATTTAATCCTTTTATTTTTCTTTTACCTGTACTATTTTTCACTTAATTTCAACTTAATAAACATTTTTAGTTTCTTTGCTAGATGACCCTCCTCCGCCCATTTCCCTGTCACTTTTGGAGATATTAATGATACATGGCACACTTTTTCACTAGTCAAATAATAGCTACATAAATGTATTTGTATTTCGCAACAGGCCATATTAAATTTGACTGAAATGCAGTTAATAGGTACATGTCAATATTCCAAGTTTTTTAAATGTATGTAAAATCAGTGTATACTCAAACTGTTTATAAAACAAAAAATAAATTTTGTTTAACATACTTACATATGGTATATCACCCGAGTTATGATTTTACCTTCTCTTGAATGTTTTGCCCCTTATCACTTATGAGATTCTTTTAATTTATTGTTTTTGATATCACTTTCAAAGCAAATCTACAATATCGGAAATATTAAGCTTTTATTTTGTTAAGTATACTTGTTTTATTATTATTGAAGTTTTGTTTAATTTCTATTAGTAACACAGCAAATTGTCAATAAATCTAGAACAATTGGAAACTAGATTATTTCACATTTCTTTAATTCTTACCAAACACATAATTTGTTCAAACAAAACATCTTAAGATGTGCTTAGACTCCCATCTAATTATTTTACCAAATGGGCTTTTAAAAGTCACATGTATCACAAATCTTGGAATTATTTCCAGTGTACATTGTTCTGCCTTGACACTAAAATTATTTTAATATACAATTGTTTTTCTTACAAAATTGTATAAAACATACATAAGTATTCTTAAATTTCAATCATCAACACCTTTTTGATAGTACTAAATCACAATAAAATATGTTATATTTTATAGTATGTAAATAACACTATATCTATGAAAATTAAAACACAATAAGTACATTTATTTAATAAAATACTAATTATTAATTTATTATGTAAAAATTCAAAAAAATGTACTAAAATATTATTATAAAATTATAATTTGCATTATTATTATTGTTTTAAACTATAAAAAATTATGCAAAAAAAAAAATTTATAAAATAATCTTATATATATATATACAAGTGTCTCCCCAAGGATTAGACAAATACAATAACTTTTATCCTATTAAATATTTTTGATACATATATTTTTTTAAATAATTAGTATGCCTATGCTAAAATTTATATATGGACATTTTTTTTTTAGGGGGATGGGACTTGAAATTAAAATTTAAAATTCGACTATAATTTTTTAAAAAAAATTCAGAATAGATTTTTAGAAAATTTTGGTAGTTGAAACTTTTGTTTAAGTATGGTATTTTATTTTCTACAATTTTTTTGAAAATTTGAATAATTTTCTTTTCAATCATAGCAATATTATTTATCCACATAAATGTCCATTATTAATTGATATTACCTAATACTTGTAATATGATAATATTATTATTATTGATACTAACTAATGAAAAAGAAAATCCTGATTAATAACTGATAATTGAATAACCACAATAGGTAATACTCACATTTGCAGAAACTTCAAAAAATCATAGAAAATAACCATCATAAAAGACCATACTTTAACAGTAGTTTTAACCACCAAGAATGTTCTAAAAATCTATTTTACAAAATGGCTGTTTTTAATTTTTTTTTTTAAATAAAATATAGTAAAATTTAAAAATGTGTATATTAAGTCTCCCTTGTAGTTAGAATAAAAAAAAATGTTATATATAAACTGTAGCACATAGACATACTAATAGTTAAAAATATATATATATATCAAAAATATTGAACAGAACAAAAGTTATTACATTTGTTTAATACACATGGGACACCTGTATACACATTAAAAAAAAAGATACATACAAATAATAAAATATAAATAAGTACTTTTATTCAAACTTCATTAATCATATTTAACTCATCACTGTCATCGTAATCACTACAATAATTTTTTCTGAACATAATGGCTTATCAAGAGCTAACAATTTATACTTGTTTAACATTCTCATCATTAAATTCCAGCCCATACATTCATTAATGTGTTCTGTATTATAAATTATATATGTGTGTCTCTTAGAGCACTTCATAATTCTAGGCCATTGATATTTAATTTTTTAATTTTTTCTGTCTTTATTTTTATCCCATCAAAATTTACATGACATGTAACTGAGTTTTCTACTATATATGCATATAACAGAACTGTAAGGAAATAAGACACTCTATTTCTTTCAATACTAATTGTGATTTTTTCCTTTGTATAATCATTAGGTATTAACTGTCAATTAAGATAAAAATCCATTTGAGATAAGTAGTACTAAAGTTAGTATATTCATATATATTCATATATAATAATATAATCAAAATTTACTTATTATATTCATTGATAAAAAAACTGTTTAACATACACAAAAATAATTTTACAAAAGAACACAAAAAGAAAACTTAAATTAGTTTACAAATTATCAATCGCTCAATTCTTATGAGTTACTTCATAACGATTTTTATTTAAAATTAATGTTGCAATGTCTATAAGTAATACCAGGTAGGTATTTAAATATCTATATACAATATACTTTTAATTTCTCTCTTATATTTTATAAGTAGATACATTCTAAATTACGGTATGGTATACAATTTTTAGACTCTCGCTGTAAAATTTAAAACAAAACAACTAAACAATATTACAATAATTATACTAATCTCGAAAAATTAAACTTACATAATATCTACTACTTAAAATTTAAGCATTAATTAATATTTGTCCAAGTAATTTATTAGATATTTATTATGTACACTATAAAATATTAATTATAATAATTTATAGACTTAAATATTCATAATGTGTTAGTTAACTTTTACTGGCTTTATTATGGTTATTTTTTTTTTTTTTTAAAAAACCTATGGTATTAAACATAATATATCAATCGACCGATCGATTTCTTCGTCATTATATATTTAACAGTTAAGCAGTCTGCACCACTGTTGTTGTTTAACTATTAAATATAACTTATTTCCAAAACTGACTGGGACAACATCATTCGATATTTTTGTACAGACGGGCACTTCACAGAAGAAATGTTATTGTAAACGTTATTGGAAATTCGAAATGTTCGTCGTTTCCTTTTTTTCTGTTGGACTGCTGGCTTACGTGCTCCAATATGCCCCCGGCTACCCGCATCGCCCCTTCGAAATGCGGACTTTGTGCACTGAAGTTCCCCAGGGCCCTCATAGAGGCATGCTTCCACCAATCCTACTTTTGAACATACTGGATTTTGTTTTTTCTATAAAAATTAAATAATTAGTATAATATTCAAACTGTACATTAATATTCAAATATCCGACCTTACGGAAATATTTCTAATTTCACTACATAATCCTTCATCGGCACCGTCGCAATACATTTCTTCTGTGAAGTGCCCGTCTGTACAAAAATATCGAATGATGTTGTCCCAGTCAGTTGAGTCGAAGTCGCACGCATAAACGCGTCTTCGAAAGTGGCGGCGTTTATATCTTCGGAAATATTGACTTCGTTGGAGCCAGGTACAACGACAAGAGTTGGTTGTCTGGTTGCAGACGTGGGCAACATGGACGTGGTCGTCGTGTTCGCAGACGACAACGAACTTTTTCTTGACGACGCACTGGAGGTACTGGCCGAGTTCTTTAATACACTGAACAACTCCGTCGCGTCCAGGCGGCACAATAACGTCTGACATGTAGACGCTGTCTCCGGTCCAATTGAAATTAGCGAGCTGATCGGCAAATCTTCGTATGACGTTCGGATATTCTGCCGGAGGTTCATCAACATGTTTGTAAATTTCTGGCTCGCATTTTCGTATTTCGTCGTCATCATTTCCTCCATCAGTGTCGCTATTTCTGGCAAACAATTTTTCCATTTCTGTGGGTGTAACCCAAAAATATAATAGAAAATTAAAATTTAAATAAAAAAACTTATTTAATAATACACTAACGTTATTGAAATTTCTGATATCGGTGTAAACATCGCCATCATCAATATCACAATCGAAATCGGATATAGAATTGGCGTATCTTCTTGCAGGGGATCGATATCGTAAATTATGTTCGCCATCTCGAAGAATATCGAAGCGTCCGTTAAGTTCTTCGAAAGGGTCATTTTGGTCCACTGTTTCAAGTATACGAAGGGCTGATTGAGGAGTTCCTTCGTCCTCTGTAATCCCTTGTTGCCATTGGATTCGTTCGTTCGTGTTGTAGTCTGAGTCGGTTGAATCGTCGGAGCATCCGAATTCATCTTCTGTTTGGTCGATTGTTTTTTTTGTCTCTTCTGTGATGGCGCACCTGTGCAACGCAATTCGAGATTTTGTTGTGCTTGTAGAGTATTGCGTTTTATAGCTACTTTGGCTACGTTCGTCGGTACTGTTTGCGTGTTGGTCGTCAACTGACCCGTGGACGGATTGTTGTCTATCAATATCTCGTTCGCCGTTTTGTCTAAAAAATCCGTCAACTCTCTTGACGGCCGAAAAACCTGCCCACATTGGCTAAGGTCTAATTCGCTACACTCTGAATTAAATAAATCGTCGGTTTGAAAATTAGTAGTATTCATATTTAAAATGATTTATTTGGAAATAAGTTATATTTAATAGTTAAACAACAACAGTGGTGCAGACTGCTTAACTGTTAAATATATAATGACGAAGAAATCGATCGGTCGATTGATATATTATGTTTAATACCATAGGTTTTTTAAAAAAAAAAAAAAAAATAACCATAATAAAGCCAGTAAAACATTATAATATCGTCATTATTATGTCATTATAATAAGCACGTAGACAATAATTATATTCACTGTTTATTGTTCTATTACGTAATCTAATATAAATTTTGTGGAATATGGTCTACGTGCTTATTATAATGACATTATAATACTGGCTTTAACATTAATCAATGTTAGTTTTACACTATAATTTGCAATACCTACAGTATTGTGCATAGATTGAAAATATAACATAGGTAATAGTAATGATAAAACATTACTTACTGATTAAGAAACAAATAAATAACTATATTAAATACTAGTGCTTTTACTAATTTAAATGCTAATTTAATTTCTAACTTAAATTTGGTTATTTAAATCTCCCCAATTGATCCACGTGTTATTATGAAAAGCAGGATTTGCATCTCTTGTTCCCCTCACATTTCCCGGCGTGGAGGCAGATTTTCTGAACTCGTTTAGCAGTGTCTCGAAGTAATCGACTTTGGCTTGAACAATTTTTTTCATATTTTTACTCGGTCGGTAATTCAAATTGACCTGTTCGCAAGGATCCTTTCCAATATTAAATAAACACGGTTTTTTGAATGGCTTGCACGGTCTATCCTCGTTTTTAAAATCACATCTTACTGTCGACTCGTTACGAAGTAACCTAATCGAATCTAGCGATAATCGATCGCCATCATTAATTTGGGATAGTATACTGGCCGTAGTACTGTTCAGTACAGCATCTATATTGTAATCGGGTACGCTTGGCGATAATATTCCAGACCAAAAATCAAGATAACCTAAGAATGTACTACCTAAAATAATGAGCAATATCTATAATTGATATCTTAGGTATGATAGTATGAATATAGTTGATAATACGATAATACGATGTATCCAGAATTATTGTTCAAAGGTGGGGGGGAGCAATGCATAACTAATATATTATGAAAAGGTATAGTCCCTATATAATATTATATAAGTTTATGTTATAACTATAATTATAAAGAATATTTCGAATAAAATACAATCGGGAAAAAATTCACATTAAAAAACCGGATAAGTAGTTTCAAAGAAAACAAAGTTATTTTTTAAAAAATTATTTGAATCATTAGACGGAAAATCCGCGTTTTCAAATGTGGTGCATCCTTAAAATATACCCATTCAGAATATCCCGTATGTGTATATTACGGCCTTACGGGTAATATGGAATCCCGCGCAATGTGCACATTGCCCGGGCAATTTTAACTAAGATTATAAACGAATATAATTAAATAAAAGATTTAAATAAGTTGATAATTTGTTTGTGATATATTCTATTATTTTATTTATTATTACTTCTTCTCCTTCACCTTCATCCCAACCCTTCATCAACTATTTGAGGTCGACAACCCACATTCTAAATAGCTATATGACATCAGCACCAAAGGTGCAAAAATGACATATTATTATTATATAAATACACTCTATGAAAAATGACTATTATTATTGTTACATTTAAGCTTTCAAGAAACAAAAGTTAAGAAATATTTTTCTGATAAGTTTTCTGTATAAAAAAAAAAAAAAATATAACATGTATCTATGTCTGAGAAATTGGAAACAGTTAAAACAGTTTTGGGTAGTTTCAAGTATAAAAATTCGATCGTACTACTAGATTATTTCAAAATAATAACATACAATTTTCATTATAAGTGGGTTTATAATTTTTATATGATTGACTTTTTATTTCCTTGACAATGCATAATTTGTGTTGTATTTAAATAGGTATATTTTTTTTCAAATATAACGTTTAAAATGAAATTATTACGACATACCTAATATATTGAAGGGGGGTATATTTTATTTGTACGGAATAATTTGAATAAGAGATATTTTGAAAAGACCCTTTAAATGTATCACACTTGTAGAATAATGTAGAATACTTAAAAATTAATCTGAATATTGTATTTAGAATTCTTTTTCTTTTCTTTTTTTTGTATGGCTGTAAGGATTTCATGATTTATGAAAAAAAAAAAAAACACTAAAGTATTATGCGCTCAATAATAATGAATACATATTACTATAATGACATACATTTTCACGAGTGTTAAAAATAATAATATGTATAACATTAAAAGTGTAGATATAAAACATTTTACCTTTTATATATTTGAAATGCGTATCCCTGATGGCGGCATATCCAGTTATGTCGTCAATATTATGCAATACATGTTTTCTGGGAGGCTTATTTGTACTATTTAGAAACGATTTCCACATACTAATACCATCGATATTACCTAGATCTCTAGTATTTCCACCTGTAAATATATAAGTACATCAATTTAATTAATAACATAATGCATTTTAATTAAATACATTTTTACCTGTATTAATCATTTAAAATTCATAATTAAAAAATTATTATTTTGTAATTCATAAATTTAAAAAATAAAAGCGTTACTTCCGTAAACCAGTGTTTATTTCAGGGGGTGGCCGGAGGGTATTCCCCCCCTTCGAAAAATGTATGGTATAACTACATAAGATACATATGATGCTATATTTGAAATGAGTTATTGGCAGATGGTAAATAATTTTGTGAGTCACAGTTGATAATAAAATAAAATAAACATAATAATCGTAATTTATCTTATTATATAGTACGTCAACTTAATCGATTTTTGGTATGTACCACATCGCATGTTCAAAACGTGGTATCGTCTGTCAATGTTTAGTAATGGTTTATGCGGTTTCGACTTAACGTCAAATTGTTTGATTGATTTGTATATTATATTGGTTTCAGCAGCGGTATCAAATAAGGGATACAGGTATGGTCAAGACCAGACCATATTTTCGGGGTGATAATGGTGGGAGGATGATTAATGGATAGAATTTCTCTTTGGTATAAAAATATTTAAGGAAAGTGATATTTTACAATTTATTTGAACTTTGACAAATGAATTATAACAATAAATATATTTAACATACTCATATAAGTCGTAATTTTAGTCTTAAGTGCAAAATAGTGTAAAATCATGATTTTCATAAGCTAGAGATTTGATTTTACAGCACACAGAAATTGATAAATATTTGCTATAATATGCAATAAAAATGATGAGATAGTTAAAAATACACGATTTTCAATAGCCAGACACATTGATGAATATTCACAAATGTTTAGAGATGGAAGGGTACGGCGGACAAAAGAAATCCTCGTACTACTAATGTCTGGAATGTTTGGATGGACCTGAGTTTATATAAGTATTTTGCAAATAGTTTGTTACAAGAAAACGTAAGAAATCCACTGTCGTATATTTATAAAGCAAATATTGGGTTTGTAAATTTGAAAAAACTGTCTGAATGCCTAATGTGTATAGGCAACTACCAGTTTTAACGACCACTCCAGAGCGTTCTTTCAGTACGATTAATATAATTAAAACAAAATAATAAATCGAATGCGACAAGAAACATTGGAATTCTGCATAAAAATTAGTACAGAAGGGCCCTCAGAACTTAATAAAGATACTATAAATGAAGCAATTGATTTGTACGCACACCAAAAGCAGCGCCGGATTGCTTAATTTAATTTGTTAAAATAAATAACAACAATAATAATGTTCATTATTTATATTTTTCTAGTTATTGCGTATTTATATTGTCTAGCTATTTAATGGATTTGTGCTTTCTACGATTGTTCATGTGTTGTTGAGTATTTTATTTTCATTTATTATAGCAAATCTTTGTGATTGGGCTAGTCCTGTTTATATATATATATATATATATAAATAAATAAATCATATTAATAAATATAATAAATATATATGAATATATGACTTAAGCTCTTAATGGATTAATAATGTATTAATAATATTACTAAATGTCCATTACATTTTTTTTTTTATATGAAGAATTAATCCAAAGTGAGTTTTTTTAAGAATTTATGTATTCGTAGGTATCTATCTAATACCAATAAATTGAACTTTAAACGATAAGTTTACTTCCTTTCATTATTTACACCCATGATACGAGTATATCCCCTTGAAAATGTACGTTTTTTCCTAGTTATTTAGAAAACTACTAGGAAAATAAAAATACAATCTCCAAAAAAAAACCAAGGTATAATTTGCTTCCAGAAATAATGTTACATTTGCATTAATTGCAACAATATGTTTGGTGGAAAAGTTGTTTACAAACACAAAAAAAAACAAATCTTTGTAAAGCTAATGCATTCCTCACCCTCGTTGTGCTCAGAATCTAAAACAATTTCTTTAAAAAACGGTAAATAATAAACATAGTTTAAATATTTCGTTTTTATCTTACAATCTATAGATGGTGTAGTAAAAATTTGAATTCAAATTACCTGCTGCTTGATATAAAGTCGGTAACCAATCTGAAATGTGCATTAATTGGTTTTGAACTTTTTTTCTATTTGGTAATAATTTACTCCAAACAAATGCCACTGTTCGAACACCCCCATCCCAAGGTGTAGCTTTTTCCTTAAATCAAAATTAAAATTATTTATATACTTAAAATGACATGATACCTTTAGGTAAGTACCGTTTTCGTCTTATTAACGCATCATGACAAAGCAAATTTGTGTTTAGCAGGAACAATTTTATGTCTTGTAATTTTAATATTAGAGTGAATTGACCTATTATCAAACTTAAAATTAAGAACATTCCCTGTGTTTGTAATTAGCAAGTCAATATTTTTTCGAAATCTTAATTTTTAAGTAATGTATGACTATATGAATACGTGAAGTATCACGATATATAAAAGCTTATATAGGTATCTCAGGATATTTATTAGATATACCTCGATAAAGGGTAATTGGATTATAACCTATCTCTACCTGCACTATCTTGAACTAACAACACAAAATTGACCCTGTTAAACGCAAATTTGTTATGTCGTGTGTTTGTAAGACAGCGACAGCACACACAAATATGACGAATGTCAAGTCCTCTTACTGATATTTGTTTAAATTGTTAATTACACATAAAAATTTAAATTTTAAAACATATTGTATGGTTATAATTCTTTATTAAAAATTAACAAATATTTATGTAACATTTGAATTTAAAAATGTAATATATATTATAATCAAATACTTACTCCTTTAAGAGGCCAATTTGATCCATGATTTTGGTGAATCCCGTTGGTTGGAGCACCATTGTCCGATACAAATACAAATATCGTATTATCCAGCATTTTGTTTTCTTGTAAAGCTTTAAAAATTTCAGCCACCGAGTCGTCGAGATTTTTTATCATTCCTTCAGGACCGCAAACAATTCAGTTCATAATAATACAAATTGATTAAGAAAAAAATCAATTACAAATAATCTATTACTTATTTCGTTCATTTTTTGAATTAAATTTGTTACAAAAGAAAAGAGCTGATACTGAATAAAGTTTAGTTGAACATGTTCTGAAATGCAGTATTTTTTTAATATTTTTGTTAAAATAATCATAGACGCTTTAAACCTTTATAAAAAAAAATAGGGACTAAATCACTTAATATTTGTTTTAGATTCGGAGCGTAGCAATAAGGAAACTATTGGTTTTACTATGACATTTTTTATTTTTTTTTTCTGTTTTTGAGCAACTTTTCTACCAAAAAACTTACTTCGAAGTATCAAGTATATCACCTTTTCTGAAATATAATTTTATCTATTTAGTACATTGAGAAGGTCATTTTTTGATTTTCCAAAGGGTTTTCAAAATAATTTAGAAAAACTGGAAAGAAAAATATTGATAAAACTATATTATATTTACGATGTGCCACGGTGTTACATTTTTCATAATTTTTAATTTTTGCAAACTATATTTTTACTGGAAATATTTTCCAATAAATAAAATGACAAGAAACATTTTTTGTTGCATTTTGGTACGTATAAAGAAAGTGAATTTTTAATTTTCAAAGAAGTTTTCATAATTATCGGGAAAACCGGAAAAAAACGAAAAATGAAAACTGAAGAGTTTTAAAATCAAATTTTGACAAAAATCGTAAATATTAGGGCCTCTCAAAACTTATATAACCAAACTTCGCTCCGAATCGATTCGTTAACAATGGTTTAGCATTGTTTATAGCTATAAATTAAATAACTATGTGTCCGATATTCACGAATTCCCACCTACAATAGTGGCGCACCCGTCCTTATTGTCTGCTCTTCTTTTTTTTTTTTTTTTAATTACCAAATACAACTTATAATGAACCTGGTATTTAATTTTCAAGTATTTTTGTTTGGTCCTAGTAGTCCAACAATTGTATGAACATTATTAAATTAAATAAAAACTAAAAACCTCGAAAATGGTAAATGTCTATAAATAATTATACAAGGCTAATTTAGTAGTATAATAAGTATTCTATATAAAGTTAAAATAAGTCTCTACGATTATTATTAACTAAATAACAATAAAAAAAGACAGGCATACGTTGCACATGGTGCGACCACTGTTGTAAATGAGAAGTTCAAAAGGTAGGATACATAAGGTTATTTCATTTATATCTGTAAGCAACGATAAACCATTGCTTGATGAAAGACGATTACGAGCGCAACTCGGTTATACATAATTTTTGCGATTTTCGTTTAAATTTGATTTCAAAAAGCTTATTAAAAAAAGAAAAGTCGTCCGATAATTTTGAAAATTTACTTCGTCTAGGTAAGTCCACTATAAGTATTGTTACAAAGTTTCAAGTCTCTACGTGTATTTATAACCGAATTATAGCAAAAAACTCCCAAAAAATTAAAATTCTTTAAAAGCTCAAAAGTGGCTCAAAAGTTTTGGCAATGAAATCGTTAGAAAGTAGATCAAAATGATAACAAAAAAGATATCTAGTGATTTTTCGATCATATCATTTTTTCCAGTAGAAAACGTCATTTGTGTTTATATAAAATAATGAAATCGTGAAATTGTACGTTTACTTACAGTTTTTTTTCACTTACGTGCTTTTATTTAGACAACTTGAGCTTTCATAAAAGTTACTACACATAAAAATCAAAGCAATTTTACTAAGAAAAAACGTGTCCACAGTCTAGATAGAACAAAGAAAAAATAAAAGAAAATAAACATCTTAGTAAAACCAATTACTCCCTCTCTAAGCTTGGAATCTAAAAGGTATCTTATTGTCATTTTTCGATTGTTACAGGATTTCTAATAGAAAAGTTGTACACAGGCAGAAAAAACAAAAACAAAAAACATCACATATCACGCTCTACTCAAAATCTAAAACCCTACTGAAAATTTTTTCTTTTTAAAAATTAAAATCACAAATATTTAATATCAAATAATATAAAATACATCTTACCGGCATATTTACGACGGTTCTTATCATTGATAGATTGATACATATCTATATCTTTCTGGGGTGCTTGTAATGGATTTTCGTATGTACCTGCATGCGGGGCCAGGTGAGCGAGATATAAAAATAACGGTACTGAGTTATTGTGTTTTATTATAATATCGGTGGCTTCCTTTGTGAATAGATGTGTGGAATATTTACCGACACTTGACCAGTCAATATTTAAATTTCGTCTCATGTCGAAGCCTTCAAATGAAGCAAACTAATAACATATATATATAAAATACGAAAAATGAAACCATCTCGAATATGATTAATACAAATCGTGGCTAATATTCATTGGCACACAACCTTTAAAGTTCAAAGTCTTCAAAATCGCATGATTTAATTTTTTTCATTGAAAAAATTATTTTTGAAAATAAAACAAGTTATTTATGTTTATGATAATTACTTGTAAGTATATTTATCTGACGATCATTGAGTAAAAAACATCATAAAAATCATCCTTTTTAAAAAAAAAATTAACTAAAAAGTAAAAACATGATATGATAGACGATGAGAAAAGCATGCCATGTGCATTTATAAACAATAATTTAATTAGGGAGAGTTGACTATATATTAGAACATTTTTTACATTTCGTAATTTGTTAATGAATTGGTCTAAATTATTGATGTGAATTTGCATTAAAACCATAGGCAAAACTAGAGCACCATCTTTGGAGATGCTAAAATTATACATACATCACAGACCTATGGGGGCAATTCCTATAATTCCTTTTACATGACACTTATAATAAGCAACTACACAATTAATTTACAATTTTTAACTTTATTTTTTATACACATACGCATTATCTGTTCTATTTATCAATTAAAAAATACACGAATAAAATATTTACACAATCATATAAAAAACTTATTGGGTATTTTTGGCGGACACTAAATTTTAAACTTGGGGGTACTAAAGACCCCTTTGAACCCTAGTAATTGCGCCTATCATTAAAATAATACCTAAATATTTTAACTACAGTAAAATTTGACATAATTAGTTTCAATTATAATAAGACAATAATTTTTTATTTTATTTACAAAGTGATTCAGCATAAGTGACCTGTTGCTAAATTTGGTCCAAGTGAATTTTCAATTAGTTTTATTAAGTTTAAATAAGTTAATTTTTAATATTTCAATGAAATTTATTTTAATTAATCTTGAAATTCATCATCATCTAACTTAATGTGAAACATGTTTTAGCTTTTATACTCAGTTGTTTGTAAAAGTAGTTTTACATAAAAAAAAAAAAAATGGCAGAACTACATAGACGAATCTTTATTATATGTGTAGTATATGAGTGCACGCGCCATGCTTTACTTTTAGTCTATCATAAAAATGTTAACAATTATTATGATTAAAGGTTCCATCATGTCATGATTCAAGGCAAGTTAAAGAAACCCATGTAAAAAATAAACACAATTAAGTTAAGTCATCATTAAATGTAATTATTCCTTACCGTAGCCTGAACCATATGTGAATAGTAATCTTGATATCCGTTCCAAAAACCGTAAAAGCTTTTAAAACCGCGATATGTTGGTGTGTATGTTTTTTTGAAGTAGCCCAAATGCCATTTACCAACTGCGTGCGATACATAACCTAATTTATTCAAATGTTCTGGAAGTAATATTTCGTTCAGTGGTAACCCCCAAGGCTCCGGCTCCAAAATCACATTATGTTGAGTCCCTGTGGGGCATACAAAAATATAAAATAATTTATAGTACATATATGTATACTAGAATGCGTGACTAAAAAACTCAATCCCTGAAGTTATACAAACTACAGTGTATCCCGTCTTATATGTACCACTAAATATCTTAGCCCGATGGCCTTAGATTTAAATGGAATTTTTGGGAAGTGATAGGGAATAGCAAAATACACATATGTACTCTGAGATAATTTTCTGTTTAATAACCATTTCATTATGCGCATGTGCAGCTAAATTTTTTTTTTTATGGCAACCTTTTTTTTCCGCCTACAGATATGGATAGATTGTTGTTTCTAAGTCATTTTAATCCATTGATAATGAAACCTAAACCTAACATTGACCTTGTGTTTAATTTTTTATCTTATACAATTTTCAAAATTTCCTCCTATATTTTATAACTGGTTTGTCTGGTTTGGGTATATATATAGCCTTATATGTAGTATAGTGTATACTTAGGAATCGGGATAGGTAAATCTACTCCCAATTGATTATAGTATGGCAATTAATATTTAAATATTGGAAACAATAGAATCTGTATAAATATACTAACTATAGACAATTGTATATACAATTTTTGTCCACAGAATTTTATTATAAATTTGCCACAATTTTAAAGTGGCCGATATTTAAACATATTTGATTGCATATCAAATCATTTTACCTTAAACACCGTGCAAAACTAGGTATAATTTTTTTATACTTCCTACATCACACATGATAAAATACAAAATATTTTATTAATCACCAAAATATTTATTTAAGATACCTTAATTATTATTATATCTGATAGGCATTTAAACCTGCAAATTTGATTTAATAATAATAGTACGAATTATGTATTTATTTATTTTCAACTTAACGTGACTAGCTTTTTTACAAATTAAAAAAAAAAACGTGGTAGGTATACATACAAAAAAAACATGAATGACAAGTGAAATAATAATAATAAACATGATATAAATAATGAAATACATATAAGATTTCGCTCCAACTTTTAATGATATCAATTTTTCTAAAAGAATATTTCATTGAGGAGGTACTTTAGAGAGGTTATTTTTCGATTTTTTCGAGGAAAATATAAGAAATGTAGGTATTAGTTAAAAATATTACGGCCTTTTTTTTTTTCTGTGGACAACTTCTCTGCCAACAATTTTACTCCAATTTATAATGATAGCAATTTTTCTGAAAGGAAACTTGACTGGGAAGGTACTTTAGGGAGGTTTTTTTTTGATTTTCCTAAGAATTTTCCCAGCAGTTATGAAAAACCAGGATAAAACATGAGAAAACCGGAAGAAACGTAAGAAAACTAGGAAAATCGGCACAACATTAAACAAATATTTTTAAAGAAAATATATAAAGCCTATTTAATTATTTTACCACAAAATGATAAATATATATTATTGACAAAGCATCACTATCAACTGAACTCCGCTCAAAATCGTTTTTTCGTAAACAATGATTTATCATTGCTTACAGGCATACATTAAATTATCCATAACAGTTGCTTCACCCATCCCCATTATCCTAGGACGTCTTTTTGAATCTTTTTTGTTAAATAGATTCTAACCAGATTCAACTGACTGTGGTATTAGATAATATCGATAATGGTAACAACATAAAATTATACATCCGAATTTTTTAATTTGCACTTCAACAATATTTCCTTGAAAGTAACAAAATATTTATTTTTTAAAGTAACGACCAATGACCACTTAGTATTAATATTTTATATTTGTATGTAGGATATCTATCTAAATTTTACTTTCAAGGTTTTTAAAAAATGATTTGCTCTAAAAAAAAAATGTTTTGTGAATTTGTCACATACTCCACTAGCCTTGTTAAAACAATGACGTATAGTTTTAATAAGTTTGAAAACAACAATTACGTTTGACAAATTATAATTAACAGATATTAAACAAAATAGGTACTTTATTATTATATTTATGGCATTAAATCATTTATCAAATTGTAAGCGTTTAAAAAAAAAAACCGATTCGAGATTAATTTAAAAAATGTTGGAAAATACTTAAAAAAAAAAATTGTTTTTCAAAAGGTGGAATTGCAAAATCTTCATAAACAAAAAGTAACATTTTTTCAAACACCCACATATGAGTTAAATATTATGTAAAGCATAAGTACCTGCAAATGAGATTGATATTGAAAAATGACGTCCTAGGATAATGGGAATGGGTGCAGCCACCATAATAGGTAATTTAACCTGTTTTTAATTTATACCTGTAAATAAGATTCTGAACGGAGTTCAGTTGACAGTGCTGCTTTGTCAACAATATATATGTCATAATATATTTATGGTGAAATTCCAATTATTCCAAATTTCAAAATTAAAATGGATTCTGTTTTTTCATTTTTTTTTTTTCGGTTTTTCACATTTGTTGAAAAAAATCCGGAGAAAATCGAAAAACGAGATTTCTAAAGTACCTCCTCAGTGAAATTTCCTTTTAGAAAAATTTCTATCATTATAAGTTGCAGCACTATTGCTGGTAAAAATTTGACCATAGAAAAAAAAAAATAAATATCTGTAAAATCATAAGCTTCTTCGCTCCACTAAGAATCTGAAATTAAAAACCTATTTTACGTCAAATAAAGTAGGTAAATCAATAAAATACACTACATATATCCATTAATTAAGAAGTTCCAAACCAGGGTGCCACAAACATGAATTTTGTGGGTATCGCAAAATTATTTAAAATGTAAAGTAGTCATACATATTTTACACAACTTAAAAGAAAAAATTTTATGAAAAATAAAATTTGTGTGTTTAATCATTATTGAAACTTATTGTGTTTTATACATATGGTCTGTGGTAATACTTAAATGTCAATCTAAATAAAAACAACCAAATTTATAAAATATAAATACTTAAATATTAAATACAATATGCAAAGTGATCAATTTATCATAAGACACTCATTATTTCGGAAAGTATTTATTTTTTCCGGAATTTGGTTTCTAGAACATTTAAGAAACAAGTTGTTCTAAAATTTGCCTTTTTTTTACATTATTTTTGTCACCCTTATTTTTGAAGGTAAAACCACTACCTAATTTTGATTTTTAAACGGCAACCTATATTTAAAAAGTCCATAAATAGTTGGGGTATAAGTTAAAATAAATTTTAGCGTTTAAATTTTTGATTTCTGTCAAGCCATTAATGAGATATTCCACTTTTAAGTTTTCGTCGGGGGGAAGTAGTGATACATTCTTAGAACGCCGCGCGCATTGTGCCACCACATAAATGATGCTCCACTATTCTCTCCCAACCAAAACTTAAAAGTGGAATATCTCGTCAATGGATTGACGAAAAGTGTAAACACTAAAATTTATTTTAACTGATACTCCATCTATTTTTGAAATTTTTTATATAGGTTACCATTTGAAAATCAAAATTAGGTAGTGATTTTACCCCCAAAAATAAGGGCGACAAAAAATAATGTAAATGTCAAATTTTGGAACAACTTGTTTCTTGAATGTTCTTTAAAACAGATTTAGAAAAAAGTAAACACTTTTCGGGATAATGAGTGTCTTTTGATAGACTTATCACCCCGTATACTAATAGGATATACTATAGGGTGCCGACGAACTTTTAGAAAATACCTAATAGTGCCGTGAGTCAGAAAAGATAAAGGATCTCTGTATTAATTAGTCCAAATTAAAATCATCAATAGGTAGGTAGGTAATTTTTTAAATTATCGTAAAAATAAATTTAATTTATTTAAAACATAAAATCCCCAACCGATTTTATACGTGACATTATTTACAAAAATGAAGCCTAGGTGGTATGATATAAATAATTTACAACAACATGCATAAGTAAAAAGCTTACTATGTCTGGGGGGGGGGGGCGTTAAATACTCGCGGCGCCCTCCTGGATCTACCACTGTCTTATAAAATAAAACCCACAAATTTAAAAAATATATAAAGAAATTGAAAAATGAACATTAGAAAAAAAAAACAAAAATGTTTAACAAACCTGTGTGAATAGGATACTTTCCAGTCAACAAAGCTGACCGAGACGGCGTGCACAACGATTCGCTGTAATGATTATGCAATATTACTCCGTCGTATGCCAAAGCATCGATATTTGGAGTGTTGATCTGATTAGAACCGTGGAAACCGACGTCATTCCAACCCTGCAAAAATGATATAGATAGATTTTAACTAGGTGCTTATTATTTATTTATTTTTATTTTTTTATCGTATCCTTTAAATATTGTAATATTCTAAAAAGTTTTCTGCGATAATATTACATAATATTATTACATGCACTCACCAAGTCGTCGGCCAACACGAAAACTATATTCGGAGGATTTTTTTTTGAAGCAGCGAACACTCGACCGATACCGCCATAGGACACCGCGTTTAAAAAAACAACGTACAGCACGAAATGAAACATACTATGAAGCATTATATACCTACTGAAGAGTATACTAAGTAAATAGAATATTGGTAGGTTAGGTTTATTGGTACCTATGTATTTTTCGAAACACCAAAGAAAAAAAAGAAAAAAATGTATTTTTATGTAATTTAAAAGTAAAACGTTTTAGAACTTATATGATTACGTGGGTACATACTACATACTTGTTAATATATACCTATTTTGACTCGGATATCACTCAACAGGTAGGTACTCGTAACAATATTTTTTTGAGACTGTTTAATGCGGACACTGCGGCATGATGTTCGAGAAATTATACCTATTTTTATGAACGAACGCACAAGCAAAAATAAATCTAAAATACATAAGACCGTAAAGGAAATTAATATTACGCCTTACCCGAAGTTTATTTATTTGTACTGTCTACAATTTATAATGTTACACTATATATATCACGGTGAAGAAATGTTTCAAAAAATCTTAATAACAATAGAAGCAAGACTTATTATTGTACAGTTGATACTCTACGGACGATACCTAACGATATTGCACAAAATTATATTTACAAGATTTTTTTCGTGTTACCTTCAATACGCATATTAACCCGGTAGTTATAGGTAGGTACCTATAATATACTGTAACTGTCAAGGTCGGATACGTGTTTACTACATGCCGGCTATACAATTATTTATATAATATGAAGACGTATTTATTTAAATAGGTATACTCGTAACTCGTTTATTCACGTCGCTCGAATGATTCTTAAATACGAATATGTACATATTATACTTACTAATATAATGTACAAATGATTCATCTTACTCAAATAAGTTATCTCATTATCTCTACATAAAGTCTTTCATTCTAGTCTTGAATAGTATTGTCTATAATGCGTCTTGATGAATTGGAAGTACAATATCATCCCGGAAGTAAATTTATTTTGTATATATAGGTACATATCTATAGTGTTCATTTTAAAGGAAGGGGGTGTATGTAATTCAAAAATATTTTGGACAGACTTTTGGGATGATAATAAGTAATTTATAAACAGGTGACGTTATACTACACATAGGTATTACACAAAATTACAAAGAAATGTGTATAATTACAACATAAATTTGGCAACTATAAGCAACTAAACGTTTTAGGTAGTATTCATAAAAAAAATTTTAAATTTCAAAGAGTTGAGGTTATAATCCCAATCTCCCTCCTGATCGCACCGCTCCTACCTATGTTCAACTCCTGTAATTGTTGCATGCCTAATACCTATTAAATATATTCCAGTCGAATAGTAAAAAAAAAAAGGGAAACAAACATACTTAGCACTTTGAACCACTTTTGTAATTGAGAAGTTATAGAAAGATAGAATGTAGAGGGGAATTTAATTTATATATGAGTACGCAACGATAAACCATTGCTTGGAATATTTTACTCACTAACAAGATCCAAAGTTCAACAAAAAAGGTTTCACAAATAATGTTTGTATTCAAAGAACGAAGCGATTTTTTGGGGTCGAAAATGTATGTCAACCCATGCATGAATAGATATATTATATATATATATATAAATAGGTATATTAGATATTCAAGAAATAAAAATAAAATATATGTATAGGTGTCATAAGTATAAGATCTTTGAGACTCGATAATCTAGTGAGTATACTCCAACATCAACATTTTTTCTCGGTACACAGAGGTCTTTCTTCGTTCTTAGGGACCACATTTCAAAAACTTCAGCACTGTTCAAAATACTTTTTCCATATTACCTATCTACTGATAGTAGAAATAAAATAAGACATAATTTATTTCAAAAAAAATGTCTGTTCAAACTTTCTAAATAGGTATGCGCGTTTAGCTACCATGACAACTGACGGCATCAATGGCGATGCGAGGATGGGGGGGAGATATTTTGGTGTTCAAACATCTCACTTTAACTATTTATATGCCAAAAATTATAGTTTTTAATATATACAGTTATGCATCAGATTTCTACAAGATTTTGTAGGTACAAGGTTTTGTTACACATACAGAATTATTAAGTACCTACATATATGTTATGTATGTTACATACGCACAATAAAGTTACAAAGTTACATCTAAATTATTACTATATTGATTGATTTTACAAATTTTAGATAATAAATGGAGCAGATGCTCACGATTTTACAAAAGTTTTTTTTGTTTTTATCTGTGCACAACTTTTCTGTCAGAAATATTGCTCTGAATTTTAAGTGTAACACCCTTTTTAAAAACCTAAGTTGAATTTCTGTACTTAACCTAAATAACAACTTTATAAAAATCTACTTGTTTCAAATTTGTTTGTTTAAATAAAAGACATGTTGATATGAGTAAAATGTAATATTCCTGAATAAATAGAAACCTGTACAATTTTAACAATAAAAAAAAGTAAACCATTTTATGTTTTAAGTTACAGTTTTTAAATATTTTGGAAATCATAGTTTGATGTTTTAATACATCTAAAATTAAAAATTTGTTTACAATTAATATGAAAATGAAAAGAGCTCTAAAAATCAACATTTTGATTTGATAATATTATTAAAATAATAAATACATCAAATAAAAATATATTTAATTCACCCTATTCTAAAAATGAAAAAACATATATTTAAAGAACAAAAATTAATCAAATATATTTTACAATAAAAGACGAATACTTTTATTTTATTCAAATTTTGCAATCTAATGATAAATACATTTTCAACTTATAGAACATATTATTATATCAATAACTGAATGAACAGAAAAAACTAAATGAAACAAAAATGTATGCATTTTATTTAATCAAAAAAATATAAATCAAGTTAAATAAATATCATTTCCATTTATTGAAATATAATAAGTATATTGAATACATAATATAAAAAAAAACTATGTTTCTTCACCAACACTAGAATTATAATAATTAAGATATTTTTTAAATACAATTATGATGGCTCACAAATGTACTCATGGCTCGATTTGTTGATAATAATGTTTTTTTTTATATAAACTTGTCACACGAAAGAAATAAACTGAAGGACTTAGGATTCTGAATTATATCTTGCCTCTTGAGGTGCTGAACTAGAGCTTGCAGAGCTAGAGCTGAAGCACTCCCAACTTCAGCACCCACAAGTACCTCTCCCTAGTTGTACCTATGTCCTTCACAGAAAAATGTTATTGGGAAATTCTTACCAGAAAGTAAAATTATTTTATAAAATATACATGAGAAAATCTTAAAATTTCATTATCAGTTATGATTTTTAAATGTTTCAGGTTGTAAAAACTAGAATATGTTTAGTGTTTAATCAAAATAGGTTCATATAATTATTATTAAAATATTATTCAAATTATTTATTTAAATAGGTAGGTTTGGTAAAGATACATATTAATATTAAATTTAATATAAAATTATTATTTCAAGATAAAATATTGTTTCATAATTAAAAAAAATATTCCATATGCTATATACAGAATTTAAACATGAATAACACTCATTAGATGAAAATAAATACATTTTGTATTTGAAATACACATGACATTCATAGATAATTGATTTTGTCCTTATAATCTATCCTAATGTATAAATCACAATACTTTATATTCATTGTTTGTAATAACTTAAAGAAAAAGAAAATTATAACAAAATTAATTATTATTTACATCAACAAATAATATAATTTAATGTGATAATTAGAGTCAGTTTTTGAAAATTAAAATAGTTATCATATAGGTACATAAATAATAAAAAAAAAAAGATGAATAATGTAAAAAGTATTTATATACTATTAAAACTTTAAAAGGATCCATGACTTATAGCATTTGTTTGGTTTAAATTTATATTCAATCTTAGGTTTCGTTTTTATTTTTACTGTAGTCTTTTCTCTGAATGGTAGTCTATCAGCAAATAATTATTTACTACCTTTGGTAACTTTTGCGTATCTTCTTGCAATTGACATTGGTTGAACTTTGATCATATTACTATCTCTTCTTCTCAATGATACCTGTTTACCAGTAGTTTCTTTAAAGATAACTGTGGTACCACTTCTTGTGGTTCACTATATTCATATACTTTCTGTTTTTCTTTAATTTTCTAAAAAAAATCCATACCAATTTAAACAGAAAAAATAAAATACCTATATTAGTTATCAATGATAAATCTTTATGGCCAATCATTAATTAATAATAGGTTTAAATAAATAACCTTAATTAATCCATCACCAGCAACTAAGTTTAAATTTCTTCAATCATCATGTCAATGGTCAAATTGTATGGTAACTTAGATTGATACTACCATTATTCTAATTTAAATCTACTTTTAACTCTAACAATTGTTCATAATATTTTTGAGCTTCAGCTATCCCCATACAATTGTCAGAATTCTCATAAAACAAATTTTTAACACCATTATTAGCTGGTACATTTCTAAGGCTTTCTGCTGTCTGGATAGTATCTGTATGGTTGTTATATATTTTTATGCAACCCATTAGACGTTTCTGTAGAATGTATTAAAGGTTTGAATTTATCAATACGAAATAATAATAATACTAATAAATAAATTCCAAATGTAAAATTGGGTACTTGTTTGTTAGTGCCCTGCCAGTGTTTAAATATGAAAACTTATTAATATAATAACAAACAACTACATAAATAATGATATATTTAAGACTGGTCTTTTTTGGAACACACTTTTTTTACTACCTCCTACACTTTGCAATGGACTTTTGATTACAATGGTAACTTTTGAAAATGCTGCTTCAGGCGACTACATTTTTCTGCTGTATTTGGTGTTTGGTAAAGGCCTGGAAGTATAGGGTAGTGACTGGGAGAATAGTGGTGGAGACTGGGGAGAACAGTAGACATTGAAGTCTTCGGCATAGCAGGGCTATACTGCAATAGTCAGTATTTCCTCCTCATCTTTAACAACTTTATTTTTCAAATCATCTGTAATAAGGTGAAATTTTAACATATTAATGTTGTAAATATGTAAATAATGAAACTGCTATTAAAATTATGATAGACTTCATAAGTAACTTAAAATAGGTACAAGTGATCTAATTAAGTTGGTACACTCATTATCTCGGAAAGTATTAACTTTTCTCGAAATTTGTTTTCTGGAACATTTAAGAAACAAGCTGCTCTACAATTTTATATTTATGTTTTTTTGGTCACCCATATTTTTGGGAGTAAAACCACTACCTACTTTTGATTTTCAAATAGCAACCTATATTAGAAATTCCATAAATAGATAGAGTGTTAGTTAAAATAAATTTTGGTGTTGACATTTTTGATTTCTATCAAGCCGTTAATGAGATATTCCACTTTTAAGTTTGGGTTGGAAAAGAGTAGTGGAGTATCATTTGTGTGGCAGTATGGTATTTGGCGTGTTAATAACGCACCATTACTCTCCTCCAACCAAAACTTAAAAGTGGAACATCTCATTGACAGAAATCAAAAATGTCAACACTAAAATTTATTATAACTAATACTCCATTTATTTATGGAATTTTTAATATAGGTTACCATTTGAAAATCAAAAGTAAATAGTGGTTTTATCTCCCAAAAAAACATAAATATAAAATTGTAATGCAGCTTGTTTCTTTAATGTTCTAGAAAACAAATTCAAAAAAAAGTTAATACTTTCCGAGATAATGAGTGTACCCACTCAAACACATTGCGGAAGAATTCTATAAGTAGTCGAATTAGCCCCACAACAGTTTCGACTACAGGATTGGTTAAAATTATTTTTGCTTAACTCTCGTCCTACAAAAACCATAAATACATTTGTTTAGGTCAATAATTGTATGACGTAGGTATAATACCTATGCCATATAGGTTATCTTCTTGCGCAGCAAACGCCGCCTTAGCCTTCCTCTTAAGGTTCTCCTACAACGTTTTTAAACACTGAAAGTCTCTTGAACCAGTTGAAGATGCTGTGAAAAATGCTTCTGCAATGGTTATCCATATTCACTTCTGGTTTTTCAGTTTGACATTAATTCCATCAGTTTTTGGATGCGATCACACTGAAGTACACTATATATAAAATTACGCATTTTTCGGAATACTCAAAACTAAATTCCCGTTTCCTCTCTAAAATATTTAGAGTATCCATAAAAATTAGATTAAAAAATAACTACAAACCAAAATCCAACGAACTGATTCAAACACAACGAAACTACGAAACTAATAATGTTGATGTCACTGTTATCACCTTATCGTAGGCGTAGATAATATAGAATGGATAGCATAGATAATATTAAAGATTATTTTTGATCAAGTTTACAACCACGATTAAAGATATCTTTAATCGTGTTTACAACTTTATTGATAAAACCCCTTGTAACCTCAAATTATAAAAATGATCGTTCTGCTATGAAAAACTCTCATGGCCTATCCATTTTTATATTATACATGTATAATTAAATATTTCCGTACTACTCTGTACAAATGTTGAACGTTTTTTTAAAATTTTTATTGTGGTAGATTATTGCGATTGGTTTACTCCATTTAAAATAAGTACAAAAAAATCGGCAGTATGCCTAAAAGAAGAAAATCACCAAGAACGCCAAGTCGTCATTCTGCTGAACGTTTTTCACCAACACAATCACAACGAAAATCTAGAAATGATTATCAAGTTGCCGGACCCTCGTGTTCAACGTAAGTATTATACCTACTAAATATATCTGTCTACTATTTTATTTCTCGCCTAAATACATTTTATACTTAACAATGGTGTTCAATACAAATTAAAATTACCTATATAAGTATTTATTGTGGGTGCAACCCGAACATGTCTTAAGAAAACCTCTTCTACAATTCTAGTAGCGTAGCTGGTAATCAGTCAAAAGGTCAAAAAGTTTGTAAAAAAAAATATTGTAATTTCTGTATATAATTTAAACATTTTCATTTTGCCCCAAGGCTCACCTCAATCAATATTTTTTCCCCTATATGTTATCTACCCGATGTTTCGCACAATAAATCTAGGGTTATTTTCGAAACGAAAACTTGCTCCAAACGAGCGAGTGACTCCCCCAGGTCTCTAGGTGTGCGCAAAGTACCTTTTTCAGAATGGACTTTTCTTCCGTGATTCAACATCTGAAATTATCAAAATTTTAAAATCAAAACCTTTCCATTTATATTATTTTATCTTGCCTACCCAGAAAAATATTTTTGGCTACTGTCATGTATCCCATCATATATGTATATTTTTTCCTAAGAATGCTTATCGAATGTAGCCAATTTACTTATTGATAAATGATTTTATAATTTACCAATATGTATTAATTTTAAAAACCTTATTTTAAACTTAAAATGATATCTATAATTATTAAACTAACATTTCAATAATGAATAGAGACAAAAAATATAATTTTAATAATGAGGCGCATTAGAAACAAGTAATGATTTATTATTTATTTTTAATAATTTATATTATTTTTAAAATATATAGTTATGTTATCCAATTTTTTATTAAATGTAAAGATTTTACACTTAAATAATTCAATTATCTAAATCTGCGTTATTCCGTGATATTGTTAAGAAGACAAATAATAAACTATTAAAATTAATTATAGATAAACTTGCTGACACTCTTTACATTTTTCTTTTTCATCATATCGGATATTACCGTAGAACTACCAATAAAAAAATACCAACTGATTTTATGTTCTATTTTCACTTGAGTTTAATATTTATTTTATTGATTTAATGTTGTGTTAATAATTAATTCTAGGCTACTTTTATAATTATATAACTTTGTTGATTTTTGCAATCCCTAAGTTTTATACAGCTGTGGAGTAAGATAATGCTTGGAAATAAAATTAATAAAAGTACCCAGTTGTTAGACATTAAACATTAGTTTGATAGGTCAAATATAGCAGACTGGATGCTGTTGATCAAACAAAATTTTAAACAGATCAAACTGACTAATTTTTTCCCACCAATTTGAATTATATTTATCTATGTATGCAATCTTTTTTTATATTGATCTTTCTAAAGTGCCTTCCCAGTGAAATTTCCTTTTAGAAAAATAGCTATCATTATAAATTGGAGCAAAATTGCTAGTAAAAAAATTATCCACATGATAAGTTAAAATAGGTAACAAAATAAAGATAGAAATTTAAAATTTAAAATCAATTTAGTACAATTTAAGTATCATTTTTAGGAGATATGTATTATCTCGGTGAATATGCTTTTTTTCATGTGTTTCTGCTAGGTATATATGCCTATTGTAGGAATATACTCAAATAAATGTTATGTACAAATTAGAAAAATTGGCCTATAATCTTGTGTTGATTTAATTGACTTAGAAGGGTATGGTGATTTGTTTTGTCTTTAAAATAAACATAATACTTTACTGTATAGTATATATTTATATGGTGTATGTTAATTAATAGGTATGTGTCACAAAATGCTCCTAAAAAACCAATGTTTAGAGGACCAGAAACTGATGTTTTACAAGATCTTGTGAAGGACAAACTAAAAAACATTAGAGTACAAATGATCAGAGCTGATTTACAACAAAATGACTCATTTCGCCAGGCGTATATGTTTGATGATTCAATACCTAATAGATCAAAAGGTAGGTGATTATTTGTTTCAAAGAATATTATTTTTAACGGCAAAATTAAATATAGTATTATGTACTTCAAACTACAAGAATTTTCTTGTAATTCAATTCAAATTGGAAAATATTAATGCATTAAGAATATTATTATTTTTTACAGTTGAACTTTGTTTTGCCTAATCGATTCAAGGAATCATACTAAAAACTATTAGGATATTTTTTTGTGTTTGTGCTTTTATACATTATATGTTTATTTAATTTAATTTCTTTTAATGATATCACACAATTCAATTTTATTCTTGAATTTTTGAGGTGATCGATATAAGTTTATTTCATTTACACCAATTTTCATTATTGAGTTTATTTTCTGTTAATGTTATCTATAAATTAAACTTGTAATAATCATGTTGTGCTTATAATATCTCTAGATTATTCATATTGTAGGTTTTCAATAAAAATTACTATTTTATCTAGGTTTTACAATTTATTATAATATTGGTTAATGAATATGCAGTACCAGCAAATAAGAGTCATTAACACATATGTTTTAGAATTTAAAAGTTCAAACCAAATTTAAATTAAGTTAATATTAAATAATTATCTTGACTATAATTATTCCAATTTTCTTATGACAGCCGTGTAAAATTTTTCTTCACTTTAAGATTCAAATTATTTAATGAGTTAATATTTTGATTAATAATAAATTTTGTATAATCTTTTATAATTTTTTTATACATTAGTTCTTGATAATTATTAATTTAAACTTTACCGTAAGTAAAAAAAATATTAATTGGTAAAATATATTTAAATTAATTCAATTTATTTGACTCATATTTCCAGTTTACTTATATTTGTCAGATTTATTTTAAAAGCAAAGTGACACCATTTTATGGCAACTCCATTGAAAACTCAAGAATGTTGTTCAAGTCTATACATTGCATTACTTTTAAAGTTCAGGTATAAAGTTTGAAGGGCCATGGACAAATTTGTCTACTCTATAGAAATTTAACTGCATTGCACTTCTATATTAAAAATGGTTAAAATATCCATATCAATAATTTTAGACAAATATTCAACTAAAAATATATGCTACTGTGTACAAACAATTAATAATTACTATAACATTATTTATATAGATTTTAAAAAAAAAAACAGTAAATAATTTGTTTACAAATTCAAAAGAAAGTTGTTCAAATAGCAGGTTAATTATATAGAATATGTTTTAAATTAAAGGAACATTTATTTTGTTAAATTGTATAACTAAGTAGAGTTCTTTAATTGCACTATGCATTTTTTTTGTCTGTGTTATAATAAAGTTTCAGGAATGTATTACAAAATTATTAAATATAAAATAAGTTGATTAATTAACATTAACTAATATAATTTTGTATATTATAATTGTTGATTTTACATCTTGTGAATCTCTTACATAAACTATTAAGTAAAGAATAATTTACATTTTTACAGTAAATTAATTTTAATATGTTCAATTATAACTTCATTGTTTTAATTAACCTTCTACTTTACAAAACATACATTTTAAATAATTATATAATTTATAAATTACTAAGAAAAAAAATATTGACATTTGCAAATCATCAATATTCAATTTTCACCGTCAAATACTTTGAAATAGGTAATATAAAATATACCTATTGCAATAATAAAAATCTGACCTATTTAGCATGATTGGTAGGCCATTGTTGTAGATAAGAATTTGGAAAGATAGAAGGGAACTTTCATGTATATCTGTACGCAAAGATTAATCATTACTAATGAAAAATGATTGTGAGCAGAGTTCAGTTATACATGTTTTGAAAGGCCATAATATTTACAGTTTGAAAATAATACATTTTGTAAATATTCTTTTTCCACATCTGTCCCATTTATAAGGATAACCCCTGGGATAATCAAAAAATGACCTCCCTATGATGAGGATTTAATTGATAAGGAAAATAGTTGACATTAAATCTTAGCATAATGTTTTTGAAATTTGTTGTTTTTGAACATAAAATTTAAAAGTACTGTTTTACCCAAAATATTTATTTTTAAAAATTAATTAAAAAATAAAATAATTAAATTTATTTACTTTTTGAAGATGGAATTTGAAAAATTGAGGTAAGACAAAATGCATCTTTGGTTTTGTGAAAATAATTGTGTTAGCATATTATTATGTTTTGGATTTATTCAAACTCTAGTACTCCCATTTCACAGCTAATTTAACAATTATTTCTAGCTATTGCTAAAGTTTCATCCTTTTTAACCACTACTTCCCACCTAATTCTCAATCTTCCCAACAGATTTCCTTATGGAGTACTCTTCCAGAACTGTCCTTAACAGTGTCATTTGATCTTCTACACATATATCCAGCCTATTGGTTTTTAAAATATTCTTTATATCATATTATAATTTTAAGTGTATAAGTATATTATAAAATATTAACATGTTAATGTTCTGAATACATTTCAATGTTTTTTTAAATTTGATTTTTAATTGTCCAATTGAATTTCTTTAAATATTTCTTTCTGCGCTTTCCTGATTTCTATCCATTAGATTGAAATGAAAAAAAATACAAATTATGCAAACAATTTCATTACGAAATTGATGACACATATCTTCCATTAATTAATTTTTCATTATAATTTTAAAAACATTTATATTTTTATGTGAATTATAGGAGAAAACAACTATCAACAACTATCATGTTTTAATTCAACTTGGATGCATTATGATAATGCAGGTCAGTATATCTCATTTTGTTAATAAAACAAAGTTAAATTACTTTTCGAGTATATTTGTGGTAATTATTAAATATTATAAATTTAGATCAGAATTATGAAATGAACCATTCATTGAGTCCCACAAGGATAATGTCTCGTAATCAGAGTATATCACCACAAAGTAATATCAGTCGTCCACCTTCTCCTCCTCTACCTTATTCTCCCAACCGAGATCATTTTAATTCTGACAATATGTTACCCAGAGATAGACCAGAACGCTCTCCAAAAAGGAAAATTCATAAACGTCCATCTAGGGATTTCAAGGATCAGTTAATAACTCATATTAATTAATTAATGTTACATAATATAAATCATTATATCAAATTTATATGTTTTTTTTAGACACAAAATCAACAATTTTTCTTCTAGTCCTCCAGAATCTAGATCACCAGATATGCACAGGTTTAGATCAGGTGATCACAGTAGACACCAGATAATGGATGAACCAATTCGTTTTGATAATCGTTCAAGATGTAGTGGATCCCCTCCTGGATATTTTAGAAATAATTATTCTTTTAAAAGTTCATCACCTGATAATCGTTCATTTTCTCCCAATCACGGTCAATCGCCTATGTCACCACCATCATTGTGGGACTCTCCTCTAAGAGACCGTCCACCATATTCTAATAATCGTTTAAAAAGAAGGCGCTCATCACCTAGACGTGATCATTCAAGAGATAGACGCCGTCGTCGTTATCATTTTTCTCCTAGAGAAACACGAAGAAGAATATCTCCACCAGAACGATCACCTATGAAGCATAGAGGTTTGTCTTCTAAACAATTAAAGTTACTATTTTAATTCAAGATTTTCATAAAAATTGTTTGTATGGCTTATTAATAGGGGTAATTAAGAAAATAGGCCATGAGCTTCGACCAGATTGTGTTTCTAACATTAATTTTTTCTAATTATATATACAGTTTCTAGTTAGTGTAAATTAAATAAACATAATAATTTATGTGATTAAATGATTTTGACACTCAAATAAAATTAATAGATCTATAAAAAAAAACACTTAATAGTATAAGAATTAAACTTTATAAAAATAATACCAAAATAAACTGACATACTTTGAATGATGGGTAGGTTACTGTTGTAGGTAAGAAGTTAAAAAGGTAGAATTTAGAGAGGAATTCAATCTTTTTTTGTATTCAACCATTAATCATTATTAACGAAAAACGATTCTGAGCAGAGTTCGATTATACATATTTTAATAGACTGTCATATTCACAATTTTTATCAAAAATTAATATTAAAATTATTTTCAAATAAACTACATTTAATTAAACTTTTTTGGTTTTTGTTTTTATTGTACAACTTATTATGAACCTCCTATTAAATTTTCAATCATTTCTATTTGGTCATGATTTTATGCACCAAGTACCTTCCAAATAAATATTACTTTAATACTCACAATATTAAAATATCTATAAATAACTTTAAAATGTCTAAAATGTTTTGAAAATTTTATCACTTTTATAAAAAGAAAATGTAATGTTTTATTCAAATTTCATGTCTCTATGAAGATTTTTAACTGAATCAACAAAAAAACAAATTTTAAAATAATAAGATTATTATTTTCATAAATGTTAAAATTTTTCCTACCTATTTCCCTAATTATTTTTGAAACTACTTGTAAAATCAAAAAATAACTTCCTGAAAGTACCAATTCAGGAAAATTTCTATAAGAAAAGTGGTACACTTGAAAATTGGATCAAGATTTCTGGTAGGTTTTTGGATACAGTATAATAATAATAATAAAAAAATTAACATTTTAAAACCAATACATTCTTTGCTTTATTCAGAGTTTAGTAGTTTGTTTTATTAATCATACATTAGTTTTTTTTTTTTTTTTTTAAAGCCACATTTAGAATTTTAATATGAACTGATTTTATGTTTTATTTGAAATGCTTGTTAAATGTTAATTATTCTTATTAAATATTATTTTATGTTAGATAATCCTAGAAAACGACCTAATAAAAATCAAGAAGGGCGTAAACGAGACACCAAAGATAGAAAAAGACGATCTCAATCCAATCCAAAATCTAGATCACAAGTATTATATTGAATTAATTTATTGCAAATGTGTCCGATGATTATTATTTTGTTCATTAGAATCAACAATCTTTATTCCAGGAACCCCAACCAATATATCCACATGGAGTTGTGCAACTGCCACCTCCACTAAGACCTTTCCCTCCAATAATTCCACTACGACCACCACATTTTCCTTCGATGGGTGCATGGAGGCCAAGAATGCCACCACCATCTGGTTGGCCATATCCATGTAAGTTCCATAAATTAATAACTATTTGTTACATGGTGGTTACTATTAGTCTGACAGTCCTCTAACATGGGTATATTGTTTAGAGCCATTAGATTAACAGAAATTCAAATTAAATTATTCTGCATGAGTTACTTAAATTGTCAGTGATCCATGGCAACTATTCTTTTTTCAATTAATTAAATTTTTTATCTATGATGTAGAAATAAAGACTTCATAAATTACACCATGGTGTCCAAGAGAAACTGTACACTGTTTGTTTCAGTATGATCGGTATATTTTTATTCATATTCCCCATATTATAAACACATATTTAAGTCTTGCAGATTATGACTATATTCTCTAAATTACTTTAGGAGTTATCTAAATATATTCATATAAATATTACAGTCATGTATTATAATTTATATTATAGCCTAATATAATCAATATTATTCATGTTAGGTCACTATCTATGCTAGTCGTTTTATGGTAGTAAGCATGTTAAATAAAAAGCTGTATTATTTTCTTATCAAAATAATAGGCAGATTTATAAATTAGTAGTTTAATATCATTATTTTGAATTATTATTATTATTATATTTTTTATATATTTCATTATTAGTATTATCCAGGATTATCTATCTAGATCAATGTTTCTCAACCTAGGGACCTCGGCCCCTTTTTGGAGTCTTCAACTAATCATTTAGTGTAACCAAAAATATAAAATATTGGATCGCTGTGTATAATATGTATATTAAAGGTCGTGGCAATAAAAAGGTTGAGAAACACAGATTTAGATACAACAATTGGTATTATAATATATATTTATACATAGATACAAACTGTAGTAATATATGTTTTTAGTAGTATCAATATGATATAGGAAATTAAAAATCTAGGGATTATATCACCACCAATAATCACATTCACTATGTTTCTAAAGTTGTTGTTTGTTTTTAATAAATTAATTTCTTTAAATTTTTTCTTGCCCATGTTAACCAAATTTTATAATAATAACTTTTTTTCATCTGTGCCACCAAAAACCTAGAAATAAACTAAACATACCTAATTTAATTTTAAAGCCAAAAATCAAGCACCAATAGTCTTTAGGGGTTGAATTCTGCTGTAAAAATTTGACTGTTTTTCTTTAGGATACAATCTATATTCCTGATAATAAATTTGATCAAGTTCAGCTTTACCACTAAACACTGAGTTTGACCAATCTCTTATAATAGCTTCAATTGTTTTTGTACATTTTTATTTGTGTTTGCGTGTATATAATTGTCAATGTACTAGCCCAAAGTGTTAAGGTAAAATCATTTCCAAAGAAAATATTAGATTTTAAATTTAATAGTAATCAGGATGACAATAATTGTATAGATAAATAATACCTTTAAATATTAAAATATTTATTATTTATTACCCATGTATTATACATAATACATTTAAGCATTTTGGGTGTTCAAAAAAATTAAATTAAATTTCCATTGTGTCTGCCACACAATTGATTCAAGAATTAAGTTAATGATTTTAATAATTTATGCATACCTTGCAATCTTTATTATCATTTAATTAACTTTTATAAACATGTTTATTATTTTTCTGGTTGAACAAATTACATGGTTTAAAGATTGAATTATAATAATATAATAAATATTGTTATTTACAATTATTTTCATTATTAAAGTTAAACTAATAATAGTGGTTATGTATTATGTGTGAATATTCCAAACCTTATATTAAATTTAAAAATTAATTCATATAATTAATTACCAGAATAATGTACTTTTAATGTATACAAAAAATACTTAGCCCTATTGGAAAAAGCATGAGTAGTATAAATGTAATAATGAACTATATGCTTTTTTTAAAAAAACATTTGTAGACTGTATTTAAAAATATTTATTTTAGATATATGTAATTAGTTAGCAAGCATGAAAGCCTTATCAATACATCAAATATATATATATATGTAGTTTATTTATTAAACAATTATAATGATTCGGTTTTATTTACAAAGCTATTGTTAAAGCAAATTTCGTTTGTAGATTGTAAAATTAATTAAAAATTATTTAAAAAGCTATTTACCAATATTTCTTCAAATATTAATGTTAATCAGGAAATAGAATTTGCCTAAGAATAGAATTTGCTTATTTTGTTGACATAATATCCAGCAGCATGGATATTTATGTCATGTTAAAAATATGAAAATTGAAAGTGCATTTTTTGCTTATTTCAAAATTTTGTTAAACAAATTTTTAATAGTTGTTTGCTCTTTATTAGCTTATTTCAGTGCTTAAATGAAGTTTTTTTCTGATTTATCGTGTTTTAAGTCCTAAACTTTGGTGATAATTCAATGTGTGATAAACCCATTTTCAAATGTATATTTCATTTCTTTATACTATTTATAACATAATTTTAATATTTTTAATGTTTTTACAGGCCCAAGGCCATACTACTTCCCCTTCTAAAATGGAGTGTCTACGAATAATTATTTTTAAACAATTTTTTGTTGTATGTATTTCAATTTTAGTTAAAATCATACATGCATTTCTCAAACCATACAATTAATGTTTTATAATAAACCATTTTTAACCATAATGTCTTGAATTCTATCATAATTTTAATTTGATTATGACAAACAAATAATAATCAATTTATTTATTTTTAATTTTTTAAAACTAATTAGAATGTGAATACAAAATTAGAATTATTTTACATGAATATTTTTATTTTAACATAAAATTTATATGACTGATTGGATTTGTATATTAAAAGTTATTAAAGTTTTATTTTTCAATAAAGAAACTTTTAAAGAGAAACTAATAAAAATAATTTAGAATTTAGCAAACTTATACTTAAAAGTTTTTGAATCTATAAAATATAATTGTTTTTTTTATCTTATTTTTGATCTAAAATTTAACATGAATTCTAATTATATTAATTTATTATTGTAATCTAGTGCAATATTGGCTATATATATATTATGTTAACTTGATTAAATCAATTTTTTGAAATCTTCAATTAAAATTCTAAAATATTGTATTAGATACTTTTAAAATACAAATAAATTAGGTTTTGCATATTTTAAACAGTGTATATATAATTTTATATTAATAGTTAATCTTATCTTCATTTAAAAATAAGATTAAGTATGATGTAGAATAAGAAAATATAATATAATTATGGCTATTTTTAAAATTAAATTTGAATTATATGTGTTTATTCTAATTAATAAAATGTATCTTCTATCTTGATGTCTATATTTAAGTATGGCCTAAAATCATTTATATTTTTCAATTATTAATAAACATTAAGTTTGAGTGGATTTTATTTATTTTTTAACAGTATTATAAATGTAAAAAAATTAACATAAATATATATAGTTTTCATCAGGTTTCTCAAAAATATTTTATATTCAGAGCTTAGTATGGAATGTACTGGTTTTACAATGTTTATTTCATTTTTTTTTTTTGTAAACAACTTATGTACCAGAAATCTTGCTCAGATTTTTAGAAGTGTAGTACCTTTTCTGAAAAGAAACTTTTTCTGGGTGGTACTGTAGGGTCATTTTTTGATTTTCCACCAGTTTTGATAATTATTGCGAAAATGTACGTGCATATATAAAAGAAACTTTGCTCTGAATCATTTTCTGTTAGCAATGGTTTATCATTGGGTACAGATATAAATTAAATTCCCATCTATGTCCTACCTTTCCAACTTTTCACTTACAACAATGGACCACCCACTATGTCGAGTATTTCTTTTTTTATGTTAATGCACTTATTATCAAAGTTAAATTGTTTAATTGTTAACAAACTATAAGTTGAAACAATTTTGTAATATATTTCGAATGATACTGAATGCTATACATTCATCACAGTGTTTTTAAATAGCACCAAATTAGGATGACAAAATAAAGTTGTAATGTATTTTAATTTATTAATAATATTTCACTGCATTTTATGTTGTTTTTTTCAATTTAATATGAAAATAATTTTCCACTCCAAAAAATATTAGGGTCTAAGTGTCTAAGTCTTTAAGTGACTATTTGTTTATGTATCAAGTATACATAATTTTAATAAAAGAAAATGACCACCTAATATATTATTACTTTTTTAAAATTGTTGAATATTTATTTTACAATATAAATTAATTGTAATAATATAGACAATTTGTGTATATAATCAAAAATTTGTGTTAAGTATAAATACAAACAATTAATCATTATATCAAGCTAGACTTGTGAATGAAGATGGAACTCAAGAACAAACTCTGAAGAATAAAGACATTTGTCATTTGTACAAGTTAACTCTGTTATAACTCTATATTATGTATTTTTAATCAAAATAATAGTTTGCATTTAATACCAATTACAAGGCTATTTAGTTTTTTATATAACCTAATAAACTAAATCTAACAATTAACTAAAAATAATTACTAGTATTAAATAATGGGAGAAATAAAACAATTTTTAAATACTTAAGTATTTAATTTAAAATTTATATTTTTTATAAACATATAATAATAATTATAATAATAATTTTATTTACAGAAATTAATTTCCAATCTCAAAATAATAAAATGACAGTTTATATGAACACGGTGAAAGAAATAATCTATTAATATTAAATAATATATTTAAGTTAAATATTTAAATTATCATACAAAATAAACTATTAATAAATTAAGGACATGATGAAATAATGTAAAATAGTAAATAGTATTAACTGGGTAAAATATTTGACACTACTTTTAGTGTCTATATATCTAAATTATAAATTAAATTTGCCAGGGTGTATAACATGTATTTTTTATTAATTGGTGATGGATAAAATATTAATTTATTTCTTAAACATGATTGGTTAAATCTAAAATTTAACACTAAAGAAGTTCAGGACAGTTATGAGTTTAGTATATTATGTAATAATTTACAAAGAAATTTACAGTTCAACAAATTTATTCTTTTATTTAAAGACATTATCCTAAAAAATACTAAGTAATATCATATCCTGAATGAGGAACTCTTTCTATATGGCATTTATATGATAAATATTCTAGGAATTTATTTATGACTAAGGATATGGATTAGGAGGACTATGGGTTTTTATTTATAAATATTGTGATGGTGATAAGAACACCACCACATTTTGATAGAGAACTTGTTTGTGGGTTACTGGGTTTCTATCATATCTGAATACTTCATATGTATAAGGAAATTAAAATAGGAGACCGCAAATAATATGTTTAGAGAACACAAATAGTTTAAATATTAATGAAGGGGCTAACATAAATAATGGGTGGGATATTCTAAAAAACAGTGACAGATGCAGAGATAAATAGAATGATAGATCATATACAATGAATAGAGCCACAGCCTATAGATTACATATAATATTGTTGATGTACATCACCAGGTGAGTAACCTTTAGTGCACATGCGTACTTCCAACTGATCACATATTTATCTCAAATTATCAACATATATATTTTGTTCTTATCTATAATGTATTATAGCCTATTGGTGCTTTATATAGATTTCAGTTTATTACCAATTTTATAATTTTAAGTTTTAATACACAGCATTAGTAATAATGATGTTCCAAGGAAATTACACATATCAGAATCCAAACAAACCAATATCCATATACTTGTAGAATTTCAAATTTTTAAATTTTTTAGAATATTATTAGTGTACATGTGGTCTAAGATATCTTAATTTGTAGTTAGAATAAAACTTAATAAACATTTTTTCAATTTTAATATATTATATAGCTAATAAGTTAAATAACACATTTTATCAAAATTCTTGATTAAAAAATAATGATGAGCATTTGTAAATGTTTAAGTTAATATAGTTAGTTTAATATCTACTTTTATCAACATAAAACTATCTTGTTCTATAGATTAATACTCAAGAATTCAATATTATATAATGTACATGCCTACAATTTGATAAATATTTTAGATTCAGAGTTTAACCAGGAATGTATTAGTTTTATGATGATGTTTATTTTATGAATTTTGATAGTTTTTAAATTTTTTAATGTAAAAACTGCTTTTTGTTTAAAATTTTGTACTCATTTGTTAAAAATATATTTTCAACTGAAGGAAGTAATTGCTGAAGTTGAATTCCACAATTGGGCTTTGGTTTTAATAACCATGATACAGCTATACAACTAATTGTCCTATAGCATTTTGGAAATGTTTAAAATACAAATTTTTATTAAGTATGAACTTAGTAGCATCATGTGGAGCAGAAGGATATATTTCATTAATAGTTTTAATATTGTGAACTGTGCTACTATGGACATTTAATTAATACGTGTTGTCTGTCAAACTACAATTATTGTAAGCAAAGTAACACAGAACTGCTGTATGATGACATATAAACAAACATTTTGGACATGTGATGAATCATAAATCATTTTACAGATATACCCAGAATTAATCCAGAAAGTTCACCTTTCTTCAGTTGCTTTAGATTTGATTTAAAAAATTCAAAACTTGCATGCAAACATACTTAAGGTAGAAATGATTTTAAAAATTATTCTTTTATTATATTATTAATTTATTGTAATTCAAAAATAATATTCCTACCACATAGAGTAATCCATGACTAAATGTATAAAGTAGTAATTTCTCGCCAAATTGTTTATTTTATACCAAATTTATTGGTTTATTTAAATTCTATTAAATCTTCAGTACTAAAATGATTTTATGAATTTTAAAAATGTTCGGTTTGTCTGAATCCTGATATGTGTAATCTCCCTGAAACATTGTTATCATTAATGCCACTAATTCATTAAAATGTAATGCTGGACAGGAAATAGTTAAAAATTTAGAATTTGTTAATATTTCGTTAACAATGCTAACCTCTCGAGACTAATTGAGTAATTCATGATATTGTATGTCAAATTGTTTTCTTTAGCAATAATAATTATATAAAAAAAAAAAAAAAATCAATATTATAATTGATTGTATTAAGGAAATTTGATTTATTTATGAATATTTTGACATTTGGGTAATTCTGAACTTAAGATTACAGTAAAAGATACCTAATATAAACATAATTTGATATAATAAATTAGTTCATCAATTACATTTTTGTTATAAATGTAGGATACATGGTACATATTGCTTATATTTACAAATAGGTAACTATTATTTAACTACAATAAATTAAATATGATACATTTAAATACAAAATATAAATATAATTTAGATTTGGATTATATTATATACCAAGATTATCAAAGACATACTTCACAAACTATACCTATTAAAAATATTCAAATAAAGAACACCACATATTATTAATTTTTATTAGTATTCAATTGGTTGACTCCAGTGACAATAAATTTATGGGAGGGCAGGATCACTAATTTTTATTTTATTTGTTCTCTTATAATTATAATTTCATAATAATAGTTAAATTCATAACCAACAAATTATTGTGAATAACACTAGTATTACATCCTGTTCTAGTGTCGTATTTAATAGCACCTTTAGAATTCTCTATTTTTTAATGTGGCCAATATAATGCACATTGTTTTATTTATTTCTGTCTACTTTTTAGAGTGAACGCTCCTAGCCCTGTCAACTAGAGCGAAATATACAGGAGCCAAAAAAGAGGTGTGAAGCCAGTTTTCCTATTATATACTAAATGGTTACTCAATTTCTTGGTGATGTAA